AAAAAAAAAATTGTTAAATTGGCTGATTGTGTTTAGTAAAAAATTAATTAACTGAAGACATGTAATTTTGAATCACTCAATACTAATACTTAATATATGGATGAAAGTAAGATTAGCAAGAGATTTTGTCTTTCTCTAACTTAAGTTTGTATAAATAATATTCGATCTAAGATAAAAGAAAGTTTCTAATGTAGTAAGAAGGATGATATATCGAAAAATGACTTATATTTAGAAACTATACAACTAATAAAATTGATGATTCTCTTAATTCAATTTCCAAAATTTAAAAAATACTCTCTAAAAAAAAGAAGTCTAATTCTTAAAGCATTCGAATTGATTTAACAGAGTTATATATATATATTTTATCTATTTATAGACATAAAATGCAATAATTTATTAAACAATCAAAAATTTATCGAATGGTCTTTATAGCGAATTGCTTAATATTTATTTTGAAGATCACTTTGTAAACTACTGAGGAATGTTATTTAATGGAGAAATCGTATAAATGTGATACGGTATATGCTATTGATCATGGTAGCTATATTATTCTGTTTTTGTCTCTTACTAAAATTAGTGTTCTAAAAATTAATTTATGGAATCCTGTAATGGTGGAAGTAGTTATAATAACAAACATGAAAAAAAAAGGTTTATTTTTAATCTACTACCAAATTATTTAAACCAATTTACAATCTTCAATTCAATAAATATTTAATAAATTTGCATCGTGATTAATTATGTAAAAAGTATATTTTACTCTTATCAATTCAGAACAATTATGGTTTTGGTGTTGATGAAAAAGCGAAGAAAATTGATAATGAACATTCTGATGAGGCAATTGAATTGAAAGATGAAAATGACAAGAAATTGGTTGTGGTTAAGAAGATGAAGACTAATGTAACGTGTTTACCTACTACTTTATTAGATTAAGCTGGAGCTAGGGGAGCTAAATAGGCTGCATAAAGTGTCTTGTTTTAAGAAGGAAAGGTTTCTTTGTCTGCTGGTGCTTAAAATCCAAATGATTATTCAAATTTATAAGTAGGTGCAGAAGTCAAATAATATTTTGAGTTTATCTCTAGGTATTTCTATTTTTCATTTAAGATACAACTGTATAAAGTTCCTTAAATGGTTTTGGATGCAAAATTAAAACCATTTATTCCAGATTATTTACCTGAGACACTTGTTTTAGTTGCATTAGTAATCTAACTATATTTAATTTTTAGGATGAATCTGCTCTAAATCAATCCAAAAGGGCTAAATTTGATTTACTGATGAGAGAAAATGTAAAAGTAACAAAAAGGGCAAAAATACTACTATTCATGCTATAGAAAATGCTAATAACAACTCAAAGGAAATTATAGCATGTATTAATGATGTAGCAGAAATACATAAAAAAAAGTAACCTACATCTGTTTCATATTCTAAATTAAGCCTGCTATTGAAGAATTAATGTAAGTCTGGCCGTAAGAAATCGAAGACTTATTCTAAAGCACTTAATTACCGGGTGACACAAATGGGTTAATATTGTTAATTTCTCATGCAATTTATTAGATATACTTATTCATTCAGAATTCAAAACAAATTAACATTTTCAACAAAAAAATGATGAAATTTAATGAATATTCAATATTATAAAATTATTTTAATTTTCATCCTTATTCGCAGATTAATATTAAAATTTTTTGCTATCAGATAATTCCATTTTGGGAAATAATAAGAACATTATACAAAATTTCAAAAATATATAAACCAAGTTGATATAAAAATCAACTTTTCTACAATTACGGAATTAAGAATAAATATTTCATTATTTACTAAATAAGAAAAAAATTTATTCTAATAATAAATTTGGAATTAATTTGTAACTTAATTGATAAATTCTAATGAATAAAACTCATACATAAATGATTTCTTATTCTATCTAAAGTTGGAAAATATAAGAATCAAAAAAGAAAGATTATTTTAATTGATTTTATATTTATATAATGAAACTTAAAACTAAACTAAATTCAGAAAATTAGTAAAAAAAAATTAACTTCACCTTTCTCAAAATCATTAAATTAAAATCAATTTGATTTAATATTGATTTATAAAAAATTCTATAAATAAATTTCACTTAAAACATGGAATTTTGACAAAAAATTATATTACAAAAGAAGACTAAACTAATTTAACAAGGAACGCTAGCTAATAAGTTAATAGATAGACTCATTAAAATCTAAAAACAAGAAGAGAAATTAAAAAAAAAAATTCATTTATTCACTTTTTTAGGAGAACAATTACTCAATTATAGATTATAGATAAAGAGGGAATATATCAGGATTAACAGCCTCTAATTATTCATTATGGATGGATTATAATCAAAATCAAGTCTCTTATTGGAAAGGTAATTGAATTTTTTTTCAATTTAAAAGCCATTTCTTCACATAATTTTATCAATAAATAAGATTAGGCTATTACTCAGCCTTATATATCTATCAATTCAATGATAATGCATAAAATTATCAAGGTATTTAATTATCATTTTGCAGGAGCAACATTGTAAATATCTAAGGAAAATTTACTGATGCCTTTACTTTTATAGATATCACATTAAGAATTATTCCAAATAATGAATAAGCATATTCTCTTTATGTAGTTCGCAAAAGAACTAAGAAGTTTTTGTTGCTTATGACTAAGCGATAGAGTGCATAACAATAAAGGTGTTTGTATAATACACACTATTAATTAGGTGCCATATTATAGATTAATAGTGTTCCATTTCTCATACTAAAATACAGAAATATGACAATCAATTTGCTGTTTTAACAATGCAATTATTCTTAACAATAGGAACGAAGAAGCTTATCAAAAAAATATAAAAGATTGTTAGCTTTTTTCCTCATTATTTTCAACAAAAATTTACAAAATAATTTATTTATGAAAATATAAGGAAGTATTGGAACTTGTTGATTAAAGCAATCTTTCTTAAATAAGATGCTATTAAATTAAAACACAAAGGTATTTTATGTTCTGATCTTAAAGCTGACACATTATACACAATTTTTTTAAGTGTTTTTCATGCAGGAATTAGAAAGAAAAAAGAAGCAAAATAAGATTTTTATGAAGCATTCAGAGTAGATAGGAAATATAGCTTCAGAGTAGATATATATTCTATTATAAATATTTTTGTTAAATGTTTATAAATAGTATTCGAATACCTTACGAGTTCTTTCATTAATTTGTCAAGTAAAATTTTGATAATTAATAGGCATTCTCCTAGATTAATTAAATTTAATTATCTCACATAAAGAATAAAATAATACATTTTTAATAGCATTTACAATTCAAATAATTTTAATTAAAAATATGTGAATAGCAAAAATAAGAAGTACCTCGGTCTGAGAAAATAATAACAACATGTAAACAATATGAGAATTAATTTTCTATTCATTGTAGAACAAAATGAAATTTTAATAAATTATTTTAGTATTAATAATATTACTACTATAACAAATTAAATTAAATAAATAATAAAACAAAATATTCACTCATTTGGGATTGAACTCAAGATTTTTAATTTGTGGTGATTCATTAAGATAGGAAAGTTTATAAACATGTTTATACCGGTGTTGATTTAATATTTAAATTTTTAATCATATGCCAGGCCTATTGGATTAAGTAATATCCTCATTACGTGGTGGTGGTTGTGGATCTTTGAAAACAATTCCCAACACAGAAATAGTCTTAAAGTCTGATATTTAGGACATAGATAATTTCATTTCTAGATTTGATTCTTTTGTCTAAACAATATACACTAAAGCAGATGTTGCAGCTAATTAAACAGAAGCTTAAGAAATAATGATAGCCATATAATGGTTTATTTTATAAGAGGAAAAAATTTATAAACTCATCAAGATTGCCTAAATGGTCTTAAAATCATACAACTTAATTATAAATGGAATCCGAAAATTATTGGAAAGTTGTTTGATCTATGTCAGAACGGATTCATTTAAATGCTTATTCATCTTAAATATTACAGCATCTCTATCTAAGGTGATATTTAGTTTCCATATCAGAAATGATTAGAGATAATTGAGTTGCGATACAAAATAGAAATTTTTGGATATTTGCGACGAATTAAAATAATAAATGGAAATAGAGAAGAATGATTTCATTCAAAATTAATTGGAACTTTACCTTTTCCTAACAAAAACTTCATTTCAAATGGCCCCAAATGATGATAAAGAACGGAATGATATTTTAAAAGGTTTTTTAAATGGCATTTTTGAATCCATAATTGATATGAAACCTAATGCTGAATTATTGATATCATTGTTTCGTGGAGTCTACATGCTTTACAATCAGTATGTGAATTAAAAAAATAGATAATAATATGAAGTTTATTTTTCAATAGATATGTTGTAATGGGAAATCATATATAACTTTAAAAATGCTGGCTAAAAGAATTTGGATGAAATACTCTTACAAATAGAGGAAACACATGAAAAAATTGTGAAAAATTCAAGGAATTGGGAAAACCATTATTTGTGGATTTAAATGATTGGAACAATCTTATTATATAATCCTCTTAT